TTTAATAGTAAGTTCATGGGGGGGGGGGGGGTGAAGATGATTGCTAACAATATACCCTGTCAGGTCAACTTCTACGTGGTCCCCCCCTGGAAAGCATTGTGCTGAATTCCAGGTGTATTCATCACGATGGGTTAACTGACCTGCTTTTTCATTTTTACCTATCATCCCTCACTGGTGCCCCGCCAGCGTATACTGTTAGCGCAGGCGAGATTACCATTCCATTGTCATCCATTAAAAAAAACTACTCATGTGAGGTAACGCTCCCTAATGTCCAGAGTCTTTACGACACTTAATGAAGCTTACCTTCTTCTTTAAGAGAATCGTGGATTTTTTTATAGTCTCTCTCAGTTTTTTCAACCCTCCATTGTCACTAAAACGTAAACGCCCTATTTTTTATTTATTACTGTAATATCCTGCGATGTATGCAACGTATAGCTAATCATACAACCATACAAGATGTATGTACACCTCGAACCCGCCTCTTCTCAACGTTTGACGGCTGTTTTGTCGCATTAAGAATCCATTAACTCGAAACGAAATTGTACTGATTAATACGTTTTATCGCAGCGAGCTATCAGCACTAGGGCCTGATTTATACCAGCGTTATCTCCTGGATATTGTAGATGGCGCCACCGCCTATCTTCGGATGCTACAGTCACTTTTATGAATTTGAAGTATGTACGAGATAGGGTGGTTGCTTTTACGGCGGCTTCCGTTTGTTGTGAACGGGCACGACTATGTCTCTACAATTATAGATAATACAGTTTTTTTTTTATGTATTTCTATGTTTTGTATACTGTAATATGTAATTTGTCGTATTTGTCTTACAAGAGCTTATTAAGCGCGTTCTTTTGTAATGTTCGAATTTTCTGAAAATTTTCATAAAAGAGGAATTTAAAAAATTCTAAATAGATCATATCTAATAAAAAAACTTTAGATGTTGTTTGTGAAAAAAATCCTAAAAAGCAAATAATCAATTGGCTGATGCGTTATATTTTCACATTGTATGAAAGTTTGAGGGTATTTTATTGATACCATAACAAATATTAGAAAATGTACCATAAAAAATTAACTTCAAATATAGCTGAACTAGCTATTTTGATTTACAAATTAAACTACTGACCGGATTTTAATAACATTTCTATGAGACTGAAAATATATCTTAACTGATAAAAAAAAACAATTTGTTTTTCTTTATTAATTATGTAGTTTCAAGGTAACATAATTAAAATAATAAAACCGAATTGAGAACCCTCTTTTTTTTTCAAGTAATATGAAAAATAATTTTCAAGAATACTTAAAGCCGTTTTTTAAAAAAAAAAGAACAATTTTTAGAGAGACACCAGAGACATATTTCATAGACAGATTTCAAAACGAAAAACTCCTTTTATAGCGAATCAAAATATAATTTATGTAATAAAATACTTATTATTAAACCATTGTCATTTTTTGTGTAATTAATATTTTGTTGCAGTTGATTTCTCAGCTACTTTTTCCCACCAAAATGTGCCTGCATTGGTTATCTACACAAAAATAAAATAAATAGTCCAACCTTCATCTGGCTCGGAAGCCATTCAACTTAACAACTGCTATACGCAATGGAAAATATACCAAAAAAATTATAACAGATGATATAAGATAAAACAAATGTTTGAAAAAAAAAAATAATAGTTTTATGTAAATGAGCGTTGCATGAGCTCGCGATGTCGAGATAAGTTATCAGAGCAGAGATCTGAGCATGCTCGCTTAGCCTTGAGTTGCGGGCACCTGCGCCGTATCTGGTAATCATAACCTTGCTAACATATCTGGCGATATGAACAGAATCTCCGTTGCGAGGATATCCGTTGTTATAATGCAATTGAAAAAATAAAATTATGACAAAGACTGTAATTTCATTTTTTTTTAATCTTTAGTTTTAAATTTTGATAGAGTTCAGAAAAAAAATATATTTACACTACGTTACTTATGAGTCGGCACCTCCCTTATGTTGACGAAATTAGAAAATTATTTTATGCAACCATCTAAAATCCTGCCATATAGTCACGGATAGTGTAAGTTACCCTTTCCTTTCCCGTGGGTGTTGTAAGAGGCGACTAAGGGAACTAACGTTAGAGGTACGGGCAGCAGCGTCAGCAGCTCTTAAAACATCATCAATACATAACTGCGGTTGCCAATCTAAACCAATGTGTGGCAACTACTGGCAACAAAAATAAGGGGAAAGTCGTGTTCAGCAGTGGACAGCTAATGGTTAATATAGTAATAATAATAAAACATCTAATAATCATCGACAGAATACTATAAATAAATATCTATAGCATTTTACAACTAATTATTTAGTTATTAATAATATACCACTGACCAAAGTATCGATATTGATAGATATCATAAAAGACCTAGCTACTTAATAGTGTAACATTCTCAAACTTTATGAACTGGTTGCATAGATTTCATACAAGCGGTTTTATATGCGACGTAACACAGATGACGTGACCCTTAAAAAATAATGACAAACTTTTTTGTTTCGATTTGTTCTTTTGGACAAGTTACGACCATAGGCCATTCTGCCTTGTAATACATATACTTGAAAACTGAACAAAGCTTTTAAAATACCAGATCAGTACAGTGGGTCTGCTAATGTAGACTATATGACGACAAATTTAAAGTTAATAGTTTTTTCTTTATGTTTCAGGTAAGTTGGAGATAATAAACAGAAGTAAAATACTGTATCCTGTACAGTATTGAAAATCCTGAAAATTGAAAATCCTGTATGTAGAATTGAAATAATTTCCAATTTATTTTTTATATTTTTGGAACTGAATATTCTTTGGGAAATGTTCTTTGAGGTACAAAGAAATATGACTCAGTGAACGACTACTAATATGCTATATCCACAATTGTATCCACCATAAGTTACTTTGGAAGGCCTATTTTTTTTTTATTTTTAGCCTTTGTCTATTTATGATGACAAGTGTCAAGTTTAGTTGAAGTAACTAACAGAATTACTTCAAAGTGTTACAGTTCATCAGCTCTCCGCCTATTATTTCACTTTCACCCTGAATATAAAAGAGTTGTGCTATGACAGACTATATATAATCTGTGATACCCATAGTGTTATTAATGTCTAATACAAGTGTCAATTACGATCTAAGAATAAGGAATTACATAGGTGGAGTGATAAAATTGTCAATTCATAGCAAGCTAGTATATAGAAAATGTTATACAGCCGTATAACCCTACCAAATTCAGATATAACCTGCTTGCAAACTTTCTACACAAACTGTGTCGAATATATAATCTAGTAATGTAAAATTTGTTATTAACAAATAATTGACATATCAAATATTTTCTATACACCAGCCTCTTTTTACCAATTATATTTGCATAAGAAGAAAGAAGGCAACCACATTATTCACAGTTTTTATTTTATCATTCCTTGTTCTTAGGTTACGATTGTTTACTACGTTAGACATCAACTATTTGGTTGCATAAAACGATGTTGATATCGCTACCACGTAGATAGAGACGTGTCTTTAGATTCTGCTTGCTTTTCTTATCTTGATCATATTATACTATAACAACCTATTAACATCTACTACTAGATACAGGATAAGTAAAGAAAATTAAATAAAATAAAGTATTTGCATTAAATAGTCATAACATTATTAACATTGGTCACGTAAAGCTATATTTGGAACTTTTTTTTTGTGTTTAGGTGCTTTGTGTAGGCGTCTCGTCTTTGTTGGTGCACTGTATTAATTGGGGCGCAATAAAATTATTAGGCTTTTGGCACCTACTCATATTTAATCCTTTAAATTAGGAATTTCGTAAGAGAAGGATTTATCTTACAATACTCTATGCTGTATTGATATGAATAGAATAGAAACATTTATTGCCATACAATTACAATATAAAATATAAATAACATATACAAAAAGTGTCCCATACTCGGCAAAAGGAACCGGCTCAGCTGATGCTGTGAGTGTCCCAACGCAATGTGAACAGCTGCACAGCGCTGGTTTTCAGCCAGTGCCTCTCTTAACAAAACAACCAAAGTGCAGGGTACCACTGTAAATTACTTCTTGATATATGTAATGAACATACACAATTTATTTATCTATATTTGTTATTTCTTTTTTTTTTTTTTTTTTTACTTTTTCTATGGAATTTCGCGGCTGGGTTTTAGCCACAACGGAATATCAGTGTTTTGCTCTTTTGAGAGCAAAGCAATAAGCTGAGTTGTGACCATTTTGTGTTATTGTAGCACACGTATGAAGGCAAAAATTGTTACTTATTTAATGCATTTTATTTTTATTTATTTTTATTTTTTGTATATATATTCTTTGATCTTTTTTCACTATGCATCTATATCTGTTATTGTTTCTGTGCTGTAAATAATGCAAATAAAAAATTATATATCTATCTATCTATATTCACTTACGCTGGTCAGGCAGCTCGATAGGCCATTCTATCACATGGCAGATTTATATATCGATTAAATTTAATACGTATATATTATATTATTGCTTCTTGTCGCAATTAGCTGGACATCTCATTTTAACCTGTAAAACTAACAAATTTTAAAAGCTTATAAGAAACTGCCTGTTGACAAAGAGGCGTGGGAACAGTTTACATTTTTAGTCCTTAACCCTGAATACTGTGGTAGTTATGACGTATTAGTAGATAAGTTAAAAATTACAACGAAAATTGTTGTAAATGCAAAGATTGTGATATAAATATCCTTCTTAAGAACAACATCCCGGAATAAGTGCTTTACTACTGATACATTCGTAATATTTTAAATATCCAAGATATTAAAAGCGTTATCAGTCATTCAATAATCAATCGGTTATCAAGAGTTATCTGCTAAGATTCTAATAGACAGATAAAATTTATTTATCACAAAAACTGCCTCGTTTCGGTAAAATATTATCGCATTCGTCTGGATTAAAAATATTGGGTGTCAAAAAATTGAGATCTTCGTACCTTATAGTTTTATTATACCATTATATTGATATTACTGGTGTTTTAATCATATTACAATTGTTGGTAGTTAGAATAGAATAAAATCAGCTTAATTCTAAATAGGGTTGCTTTGGAAGAACGAAAAATATTTTAACAAAAAAATCCGGTTCGAAGGACCAATATATTTCTTGTGTATAGGTGACGGTTATCGCTCTATGTCAGATTCGTCGTATTAGTTCTATTGTAATAACTCAATGTAGAGATTGGTGTTAATTTATTTTTGATTTTTTTACAAAGTGAATATTTTCATAAATTTTACTTATCAAGTAAAATTTTTGTAACATTCCCATCGTATGAAAACCATAATAAGATAGTATAATTTTTATAAACATCAAAGCAAGACTAGAGACCTCGCGATTGGCTATCAGAAAAAAAAATCGCCCTGATACGACGTTTATGGCAGCAGCTTTTTTATTTGACATTTTATACAAGTTTATTCAAACAGTGCGATAGGATCGGAGACGTTATCTTTCAATGCAGCGTTACCGCGAGCTCCGCGTGATAACATCTGGGGCCAGCCATTGCTAGTTAAACCAAACTGATAAGGGATCGAAGAGCTCAGTGTGCGTGGCCTGTCTGTACAGTGTTGCCGGCTAGCGTGTGTGCGGAGAGGGGCGCGCGACCGCCAACCGACAGTCACTCAGTTAACGCGGCTAAAGTATGACGAATCGACGCTCTTACCACCAAATAATGACATATTCGTGATTAAACAGTGAAAAATTGGATGTATTGTGATGTTATTGTGGTTGAGCTACCTAAAACAGCTGGAGCTTGCGAGCGGCGCGGCCGAAATGCCGCCAGGTGGCGTTGGAAACGTCAAAACAATGTGTAAGTGTTCTTGTTTACATTTTTTTTTTTTTTTGTTAAGCGACACTTGTTTACGTTATTCTGTTAAACGATAGTTTTAGTTAAGTTACATTAGATAAAGTGCAACTTGTGACGTAAGCCCCTCTCTGTGTGTGTGTGTGTGTATATATTTGTCTTTATTTTCTTACATTTTTACAACAATATACTAAATAAAGTTGGTATTACAAATACGATCTTGAAGTAACACAAATCGTTGGGTAATGAACTCGAGATTACTTGTAAATAAGTGACAGTGTAATTTGGCGTAAACGCCCTTATAAAACTATATATATATATATATATATATATATATATATATATATATATATATATATATATATATATATATATATATATATATATATATATATATATATATATATATATATATATATATATATATATATATATATATATATATAGTCTAGATATCGCATATGCCTATAAATATAATTGTTGGTATTAACGTTAATATCGTGTTTCAGTTGGAAATGATAAAAATGTCGTTACGATACATTTAAGTATTTTATCTTGTTTGTGTGTGATACTAACACTGGTTTGAAAGTAAATTGAGTTTAACTGCATTATGTAGTTATGTTTTATCTTGGCGTAAATGATAAATAGTTAAATTGAATGATAATTTCACTATGTTGTCCTTTACTTAACACGGTAAATAATTGTAATTGTGTCCGATAACATTTTTTGACGTATTTCTCGACAGTTTAAATATCTATTTACACTAAGTGGATATTTATTTATTTAACTCTTTATTGCATCAGAAAATGTGGAAGAAGCGAAAGAGGTTTGTTTGAATCGAAGCATTTGGCGTTCCATTGTTTCTGCCTACCCTAATGGGAAACAGACGTGACAGATATGTATGTATGTATGTATGGATCAGAAATATAAAAATAAACAATGACAATTGAACAATTCAAGTGAAATACAGTAACATAAATACAGATTAAAATATAATAATATGTAAAGATACAAAAGGTGGTCTTATCGCTAGGATAATCTCTTACAGACAACCTTTGGTTAAAGGAGAACAGATAGAAGTGGGTGGCGCAAGAGTTAATTAAATCTTATTTACGTACCTACGTAAAATACAAAAACCTATATTTTACACAATACTTATTATTATTACTGAAAGAGAGTTCTTTCAGGCCAAAAAAAAAACACTACGACCGTTCCATGATCTATTGTACTCGTTGTACCTTTTTTTTAATGGATGATAATGGAATGGTATACCCTGTGCTAATGGGATATGCTGTGCGGGGCACCAGTAAGAGATGTTAGGTGAGGATGTAAAGGCAGGTATGTTAGCTTATCGTGATTAATAGACCTGGAATTCAGCACGATGGTTTCCAGGGGTGACCAAGGGGTTTGGTAGCGATGGAACTAGTAATTCACATTAATGACAATACCTTCGTTTCCCTATTCATAGTATCATTGGGTAGTGTGTTCTATTAAAAGGCTCAACATGTTTTATTGCTTTTCAGCATAGATTTTTTGATTTCACTATTATTTTACTATTGGAACAGCCTCATGAAAGGGGGGAAAGGGATTGTTAGTAATAGAGACTAAAAATCCCATTGCTAGCAACATACCCAACCAGGTCGACCTCCTCGCGGTTTTCATCCAACAAAAAAAAAGCCTCATGAAAGGGTGTTAATTATTTCAATTTGAATCAATATAACTTATAAATTGAAATAGAGAAGTTTATTTATTTTACGTTTACGCTACTGCACTCCTTTGAAGATATACAGATAGTTCAATGTCTCGTTTTTTCCCATATTTAAAATAAATTTATTGACTTTTATTGAATTTATTGACGACTAGTTTCGGAATCAATCCGTGATCCTTACACATAAGTTAAACCGATAGTTATTAATTTTAAATACATGTATTATTTGGTGAAATAAATAAATTATTAGCCTGTGGGCTAATATTGAGCCTAGGAATCATTTAAAACATTCCTTGGGATTCAGTCTTTAATGGCGTTTGTGGTGCCTCTAAACTACATAGATAGGAAAATACTATATATTCTTAACAATTAACGTCCCACTGCTGGGCTGATGAGAATTATTTATGACATACATATATGGGATAAGTCCACTATTGTATATTCAATATTTTATCTGTCCAATGTTTATTATTTACAATATATTTTTTATTTAATTAATTTAATATATAGATATTATGTACAAAATAACTAAGTTACCATATATTTATTTATTTATACTTTTGCACGCATTGAAAAATGTCTACAGGGCGGGCTTAATGCCTGATGGCATTCTCTACTAGTCAACCGCCACGCCAAACAGAGAGAGCAAATGGCGGTGCACAGATTTAAGAAAATGGCAAATTAAATAAATATTTTAAGAGATAAGAATTTATGATAAATAAACATGCAAACATATAGAATAATATACATACAAAAAATATACACACATAAATCACATACAATACATATATAAATAACCATACATAGTATATATTAAATTAATAAATATATAAATCATAACTAATTATATAACAGATTGAGGCTTTTCATTGTTGTGATAAATTGAAGTAATGTTCACGAAGGGACTTTTTGAAGGAAAATTTGGTTAGGGACTTTTTTTATATTAATAGGCACTGCATTCCAATATTTTGATGAAACATGTAACTCAAACCACACACACTAAAGGACACACATAATGACTTCTGTTAAACACAAGTCATGATATCGTAAGTTGATATTTAATGACACAAGATGGCGTGATACGGAATGCCTCGAGCGTGTGGTTTGTTCGTATTTTGACAGCGGCTGTCAGTGTCAAATATGTCAAATTCTCGGTGCGCATGTCCGTCTTGTTGTATTGTGATGGTGAGATCAAGACCGTGAAGCAGATTATCTATCTATCAGTGTATAAAATGTATGTGTGTAATGTTTATTTTTTCCAAAACCGTTAGTTTAATATGTTTAATTGTATTTTAAAAGCTCAAACTCAATTCCTTTTTTGTATACTTAATAGTTTTCTCGAAAATTTTTATATATATTTTTTTTAGTTTTGGAATTTGGGATTTAGATTGATATCATTGAGAAACTATATGCAGAGCTACGATAGGGTGGTTCATTGTAAAATTCCGCTTCTTCTATTTTTTCAATTGGTAACTGGATTAAAGTAAATGTTAAAGTAAATATTAAAGTTTATTATGTAAAAATTTTCTTGTTTGCGTCCTTTTGCTGGCTCATATTATTTATGACATACAATTGCAGTCCAATGTATGTATATTGAAGTATCGTATGTGCACTTACGCGCGGGAGTCGTTAGCATACCATTCAGCAGTTATTATAAACACGAAACCGTTCCAAATAATTTGTAAGGAACCCACAAGTGAGAGACACGAGTGAGTGAATGAGCCATGCGCGCAGTCGATCGTCTCGATTTACTGATAAGGATGGAGAAAAAACGCGTTATCTCGTTACAGATTTCACGTTCATTATCAACTACCATCTATGTGTGTTGGTTTTATTTTTATTTTTTTGTTATTGTCAATACTGAGAGCGTTATGTTGGTTTACGTTATGCGTTGACATAAGGAATAAAATGTAAACATGTTGTGTTATTAACTAAGAATAATATGTGGAATTTTATCAAATTATATTTTCTTATAATTTAATTTTAACGATTATGTTTTTTTTTTAGGCTGCCGGTAAACAAGGAAATTACCTATTTGATGAAATGTCACTGTTCTTATGAATACTGTCTGTATACCACCACATATCAGGAGAGGGGAGGGGTGGAAGGGATTGTTAGTAATGGGGTTGTTAACATTGCTAGCAATATGCCTATTCTGTTCTTTCATTTACTAAAAATTTAATGTACCTTCTTTCTTCCCTGAAGCTTTATTCGTGCGTACTCATTTCTCTTAAAGAATAACATAATAGTTAGTTCAGTTATCCATGTATGTTATGTGCAGATTTTTCAACAGACTTTATAAAGAAGGAGGTTCTTATTTCGATTATATTTTTTGAATGTTGGATTTGGATTTTTTTTTCTATTTTTATATATTTTTTTTATTTTATTTATTCATAAACGATAACTTGTATTTGAATGTTATAGTAGGTATAATAAAATGCATACATGTAAATATAAATTAAATTATGCACAAAAACAAAAATTACAGTCAACTTAGAATCATCTCTTAACACAAACAACATATACACTTATGAAAATATATACTTACAGATTAATCCCATAAAAATTTTATCGAAATCGAATGAGTAGTTTAGTTTTAAAATTAAATTATTTTTTCATACAACTTAGAATGGCAAACAAGCTGACGGCCCACCTGATGGAAAGTGGTAATCATCGCCTATAGACATGAGCTGTACCATGGACGTAACAGAGTATACTGTTTCACCCATGATACCCCCCATGCGTTGCCATTCCTGAGGAGTCAGGTGTTATTCCTCTGTACCCTGTAAATTCACGCCACTTTATCACTATTTGTTATTATTCACGCCAAAATCACTAGGACGACTGAAATTGGATTTTTTTGTGAAATACAATTTTATTCTTTGTATAAAGCCCATTACTCTATATCGTATATAATCATCTATTAATTTACTAAAATTATACAATTGTCGTAACAACCTTCTATTATATTATTATTTTATCTATGCCTCTACAAAGACCATAGCTGAGAAAACAGCTTATTTGACCTCTCAATTAAGACACTGGCAACTGAATTACGTTTTTTTTTATCTTAATTTAAATTTATCTTAATTTATTATTTGTATAAATCTTTCTGGGAACGTTTTCTTCGAGATAATATTGATTGCCACTAATCAGATGTTTGTCACTTTTAATTAGGAAAAATGTATACCTATCTCTCCTTATCGAACCCGGATAAGAGATTCTTTTGTTCTTTTGAAGTAAACAATATCTAAACTTAAACATATAGGTAGGTATAAAATATATTTTTATAAATATA